GTTTAGATTAAGTGATCGGAATGTGAGAATGGCAGAATCCCATTTCTGAAGAAGGGTCCCGACCCAAAACGTCAGCTTTCCTGCTCCTCTGATGCTGTCTGGCCTGTGTTCCTCCAGCTCCACACTGTGTTAACTCTGACTCCAGCGTCGGCAGTTCCTACTGTCTCTGATGGCAGAACAATGGTGTGGGTCTACCTGCTAGACGGGAAAGGACAGACTGTCCGGGGGGGGGGGGGGGGGGGGGTAGAGGGGACATGGTGACAGAGAATTTAACAAGTAAAGCTAAAAGAAAGGGAAGAAATGGGAACTTAATATTAAGTTCAATATTAATATTGAGTTCAACATCTTCAAATTGTGAACCAACTCCATTTCTTCCCTTTCTTTTAGCTTTACCTGTTACATTCTGTTACTATGTCCTCTCTCCCCTCCCCCCTCCACTCCAGTGAGACTATCTGTCCTGTCCAGTCTGGCAGGTAGACACACCATGGTTCTGCCATTCTCACATTCCAATCACTTAATCTAAACCATCAACATCTTTTCTCCGTCAGCACCCTACGCCCACAACACCCCCAACCCCCAAACTATAAGCATAAATGCTGTCCCCTTCACACTTCGTTTCAGCTCTGATGAAGAGTCATGTAGCCTTGAAACGTTAGCTTGCTGTCTCTCCATGGATCCCCTGTGATCTCCAACAGTTGTAGTTTGCAGTGGATATTTCGGTTGTTACTGCTGTTCCATTGAAAGCTGTAGAAAGATGCATTTACATGATAGCTTCATTCATTACAGCAGTCCAAGTTGATCCAGCACCATTGGGTTGGCTTCAACTTTACTGCATCATCTTTCTCTCTGCTACTTGCAGTTGTAGACTGTCAGTCAGGAAAACCAGCACAGTGTGCAATGATGGACTCGTTGCTTGATTTGGATGGTTGAAAGTTACCAAAATGAATGCATTGTTTCTGAGGCCATTACTGTTGCCAGTAACATCCCAGCAGGTCACCTGTGGCAGCTTTGCCGCAGTTGAATTTAGAACATAGAACATAGAACGGTACTCTATAGTACAGCACAGGCCCTTCGGCCCACGATGTTGTGCCGAACTTTTACCCTAAACCTAAGGTCTATCTAACCTCCACCCCTACCTCATACTATCATCCATTCGCCTATCTAATAGCCACTTAAATGCCCCTAATGAGGCCGACTCCACTACCCTCTCCGGCAATGCATTCCACACCCCTACCACTGTGAGTAAAGAACCTACCTCTGACGCCTCCCCTACCAGCCTGTTTCACACTGTCCTCCCCTACAACTAGGTCTCTCTCACTTGTGAATACCGAAGAAAAGTATTCATTAAGGACCTCTCCTATCTCTTTAGGCTCAGTGCACAAATTCCCTTTACAATCCTTGATCGGCCCTACCCTTTCTCTGGTCATTCTCTTATTCCTCACGTACGAGTAAAAAGCCTTGGAGTTTTCCTTGATCCTATCTGCCAAGGTTTTCTCATGCCCCCTTATAGCCCTTTCTCCTAAGCCCTTTCTTCAGCTCCTTCCTGGCTAACTTGTATCCCTCTAGAGCCTTTTCCGATCCTTGTTTCCTAAACCTTATATAAGCATCCTTCTTCCTCTTAACTAGTCGTTCATACTGTCCTCCCCTTCTCTGAATATTTCCACAGGCCTGGCTCATGTCACCCAAAGTCTATAGAACTTGCATCCAGCAATGTGTTCTGATACAGACCTGCACATGATGTGACACACTTAGAGTCACGCACATACTTCTTGTTCCCAGGGCTCCTCTAAGTTCTATTGAGGTGTTTGCATAAAATGAAGAACTTTTAAGTTGAAACTGTAGGAGAGAAGCTCTCCTCCAGGCAGGAAGGAGAAGAGGAACCAAGATGATGGTGCGGTCAGACAGAAAGGTTTTTAAGAGGCTTTGGGCAGGCAAGTATCAAAGACAACTGCTTTGGAAGGGAACTCCAAAGGGGAGGATCAACAATGGAAGTGAGCAGTAGTAATTTTCAAACAGAGAAATAGAACAGTTGTAGTTCAAGAGGATAATTTGCATGGCTATGGAGGGATTTGTATTAAAGATCATGCTTTATCTTTGTGGTTAATGGAACCAGTAGTAACTGAGCAAGGACCAAGGTGTGAGAGACTAAGAGTTTACAGTTAGACTGGAGCTCATGAGATTATTGGGGAAACCCATGCTTGAGGTGATGAAATTATAGATTAGGATTTCAGTAGTATTGAACAACGGCTGCGATCGTACATGAGGATGGAAAACATTCTGGAAATGAAATGTGATTTCACCTCAAGTTCTGCCCTGGGTTTAGCCGGTCCTGCCCTGACATTTTCCCCTGCATTCCAATCTTGCACAGTCGCATCGAGCAAACGCTGCTAGTGAGCTTTTCAAAGTCCACTCTCTCAGCCGCCATGAAGTATCAACGTTTTCAGGTTTCTTCCAACTCTCTCATGGGTTCCCCTCACACGCAGCCATTGGGCCTTCCCACTTTCTCAGCTTGACAGAACTTCTGATTTCTGACTCCAACGCTTAGCTGCGTACTAATTCCTAGAGTTTCTGATTGAGTTCTAACAGCACAGAGTCATCCGACTGCTCTTGACTCCTCACGGAGTTCCCTGCAGAATCTGTGTTGTTCAATAATACAGCCACCTGCAGCTCTCCTGATGTGCAGTCTACCCATGGTCTCCTTTCACATCCTCCCTTCTCTTCCCGTAACCTTTGAACTCCTTCTCCCAGTTCCCCCTAAACTATTCTGAGCAATTGATTGTAAACCTTGCAATAAACCCCGTTGTAGGGCAGAATTGAATGTGCCTACCTCACAACTCTTCTGTAGCACAGGACTGATGGACCAAATGGCTTCCACTTATCATGAAATTCCACAACAACTTCTCTGAGTGGTTTGAAGTGGGTCCCATAGATTACACCAGTTTGTGTGACTCTCAGAGTTTTGTTGAGAACAGAGAGGGCCTGATTCCAGATTTCAATTAGATGCATTTATTCTTGTCTTTTTTCTGTTACTGAGAGTTCAATTTCAAATGACCTAAAACAGCCTCATTAAAATTAACACTCAGCAATTCAGACAGCATTTGTGGAGATAAGCTGGGTTTAACACTTTAGGTCAATGACTTTTCATCAATCATAAAAGTGGAAGTAGAACCCAGCTACCCGGGCTTATATTCTTGTGGGTTTTATGAGTCACAAAATGTCCCTAAACTATAGTTTGGATGCCACAACTTTAAACCAGCTTTTCTATTTGAAGAAACTGCTTGTGTGGTGCCCTTAAGTTGCTATTATTTAACCACTTCAGCCATGAAGGAAAACTTAGCCAGTAATTACTGTGTCCAAATTTGTTTCTTTAAAGGGTTATGTCAGAGTATATGGAGTTGTGCACTCCTCCTGGCCTTCAGTGTGTATTTAGGGGATTGTACATCAGAAGCCAGATAATTGAAATGCATTCAACAAGCAATATTCATGCAGAGGCTGCTTTTCAGAATCATAGAATCCCTACAGTGGGGAAGCAGGCCATTTGGCCCATCGAGTTGACACTGACCCTCTGAAGTGCATCCCGCCCAGAACCCCTCCCCCCTCTACTCACCCCACACCCTATCCCTGTAACCCTGTGTTTCCCATGCCTACCCCACCTATTTACAATTTAGCATGGCCACTCCACCACTGCAAATCTTTGGACAGTGGGAGGAAACCGGAGCACCCGGATGAAACCGGGGAGAACGTGCAAACTCCACACAGACAGTCACCCAAGGGTGGCATTGAATCCGGGTTCCTGATGTTGTGAGGCAGCAGTGCCAACCACTGAGCCACTGAGCCACTTTGCCAGTGTAATGGTCAGAGTTATAATCTTGAGATTACACACTGTGCCATGTGTCAGTGAGGCTAGTAATAGAAAGATAGAACAGCTATATATGTAGCAGAAGAGTGGCAATTGGTGTAGGAGGGAGAACTGTCAGGAGAATTGCTTGTTGCTTTTGATCTGTGCAAACGCCATTTGCCCTGAAATGAGTGACGCTAAATAATGGCATGATGCCAGAAATGCTTACCCTAACTCAAAGGCGACTGCTAGACGCTTGACACTGATCCAGCTTCCTCAGAGCCAGCTCCCAGAGTGAACAGAATGTCAAACACTCCTGTTTTTATCTGTCAGCCAGGGCTCCCTGATTGGATCTGATTAACAGCGCCAATCAGGGAACTCATTCTATGAGGTCCACATGGCTGACCTCGTTACAATCACTACATTGACCGACTGGCCTGATTTTGAGCTCCCTGCCACACTAGTTTAACCCCTCCTCGTGGCACTAGCAGACCTTCTTACCAGGCTGTAGGTGCCCCTCCAATGTGGGTGCAACGTGTCCTTTTTGAGCACTGTTGGCTGTCACTGCATAGTAGTGATTTATATGACCTCTTAATTCATTTTATTTTATACCTAGCTTCATTATAATGTTTGACTCTCACCCACCTCCAGCATATAGCAGAGTTCAACCCCATAGAGCCAGAGTGGCAGTGAGGACAATTTGGGGAGCAGGATGATTATCATTGATGATTCTTCACAGTTTTAGCCATTAAAACAACTATAATTAGCCACTGCATCTACAGTACTTATAGTATGGGTGTCAGTTTGTACAAATTGCAGCACTTGGATGAATGTCTTTGGGAGGAACAGTGTCTTCTTTTCTTAAATTTGCAACTTTTGGGTTTTCGATTTTTACACAGTGTGGTGGGTGCCTGGAACACATTGCCGATGAAAGCAGGCACATTAACAACATTTAAGGCATATCTTGATAGACACATGAACGGGAGGGGAACAGAGGGATAGAAACTGCGTATGGGCAATAAGTAGCAGGTCTAAATAAGGATTAAGAATTGCTGAAAGGCCTGTTCCTGTGCTGTATTGTATTGTATTGAGATGTAATTGCAGTTTGGAATTGCAGAACGATTTGCAACTCCAACCTAATGTTTATTACTTTTGTTTACAGAAAAGCTGTACAACTCAACAGGCCCTGATTTAAGAAGATCACTTTTCTCTTTGAAGCAACTATTCCAGGTAATGTAACAGTCCAATATTGGAATGCAGTTTACCTGTTTGTTTGTAGTTACATGGAAATTCATAATAAAATTATAACAGTATAAAAGGCCAAGCCTACCCATGTCAGTTTCCAAGCTCCATGTGCACAAATAAATTTATTTGGTCAAACTGTTTCTTACAGAGTCCTAGAGTCATACAGCATGGAAACCAACCTTTTGGTCCAACCAGTCCATGCTGAACATAATCCCAGACTAAACTAATCCCACCTGCTTGCTCCTGGCCCATATCCCTCCAAACCTTTTCTATTCATCTACCTATCCAAATATCTTTTAAATGGTATAATTGTACCTGCATCCACCAGGTCCTCAGGAAGTTCATTCCACATGCGAACCACCCTCTGTGTAAAAAAAACTTGCCCCTCATTTTTAAATCTCTCTCCTCTCACCTTAAAAATATGCCCCTCAGTCTTGAAATCCCCCATCCTAGGGAAAAGACACTGTAAACTATAAACCTCAGTATACAGGAAAACAATCCACACTGACCAAATCCTCAACTTCCACAGCAACCACCCCAATGTCCACAAACAAAGCTGCATTAGGACACTAGTTAAACAGGCCACGACACACTGCAACACACAGGAACTATGCAGGAAAGAGGAAGAGCACCTATACAAAATCTTTGCTATGAACGATATCCCCACAACTTCATCCACAGATGCCTACTAAACAGACAGCAATAGTAGGACACAGTACGCCCTAACACACTGGCCACACTACCCTACATCAAAAACATATCAGACTGACAACAAGATTCCTAAGACCACTAGGAATCATGGTGGCACACAAACCCACAGCCACTCTACGACAAAAACTTACAAGGATTAAAGACCCCATTCCCACAACATGCAGAACCAACGTGGTTTACAAAATACTATGCAACGACTGCCACAAATATTACTTCGGACAGACAGGAAGGAGGCTAGCCTCAGATTACAAAACATCAACTAGCAGCAAAATGGCAGGATGAACTCTCCTTAATATCAGTATACTCAGACAATGAAGGCCATCAGCTTAACTGGGACAAGGTAACCATAGTAGCCCAAGCCAAACATAGACACGCACGGGAATTCCTAGAGGCATGGTTCTCCACCTGTAATGCAATCAACAAACACACAGAATTGGACCCCATATACAAACACATATAGATCAAAACCAAAAATGACACTACTCACCATAACAGACCGGACAGTATAAATTCCAAATGGAGTAGAATAACGTTGCTTCATCGGAGGCTCCACTGATGATGTCAGCTAGCGTGGTGATGAAACATCTGAACGAGAACAAGCCAGCTCGGTGAGCAAGTCAACAACCTCATCCAAAACCCGAGCTACAGATTTTTGCTAAAACTTTAATTTCATAAACTTCTATAAAGTCACCTCTTGACCTCCTACGCTCCAGTGGAAAAAGACCCAGCCTATCCAGCCTTTCTTTGTAAACTCAAAGCTTCCATGCCCAGTAACATTCTGGTACATCTCTTCTGAACCCTCTCCAACTTAATAATATCCTTCTTCTAACTGAGTGACCAGAACTAGCACAGTACTCCAGAATTTGATCCTTTCTTAATAATTCATTTATGGGATGCCAGCATTATTTTTTGCCCAACCTTTAAAGCCTCAATTGTATAGGGAAAATGTTTGTGGAGCATTAATTTAGGTATTCCAACAGTGCTGTTATGGAAGGAGTTCCATGATTTTGACAAAGTGATGAAGGAATGATGATCTATTTCCAAGTGAAGATGGTGTGTGACTTAGAGGTGGTGGTGTTGCCATGTGCTTCATGTCTGTATCTTTCTAGATGATAGAGGTCGCAGGTTTCGGGCCAAAGGAACTTGTATATACTTTCTAGGTGGCCTATAGTGGAGGGAGTGAATATTTAAGACAGTGAGTGAGAGCCCTAATTAACTAGCCTTTTCTGTCCTGGATGTTGAGCTTATCCAGTGCTGTTGCAGTCACATTCATTCAGGCAAGTGGAATATATTCCATCACACTCTTGATTTGTGTCTTGCAGGAGGTGGAAAGTCTTTGGGGAGTCAGGAAATGAGTCACCCACCACAGAATTCTCAGTCTCTGACCTGCTCTTGTAGCCAGAGTATTTACATGGCTAGTCTGGTTAAGTTTCTGGTCAATGGTAGCCACCAATCTCTTTTATTGGCGATTGTCAAGACTTGGCTCTTGTGTGGTGCAAACATTACTTAACAGCCTGAGTATAAATGCTGTCCACATCTTGCTGCATGTGGATACAGACTGTCCAAATTGAATCTGGAGCAATGATGTACTGTAGGGTCCTGCCGTTCGCAGGAGATGGAGTCCTGGAGAACATCACAAATGGCAAAATTACAAATCGTAAAAACAATTTGTAACACGAATCAATGGGATAGACTCCAGCCAGTAGGCACCCTTCCTAAATTGTTTTTGTGAAAATGCTTTTAGTATTGTTTGTAATGTTGCCAGTATAGTAATAGTCTCTGGGACCTATTTAATCCATAAAGCAGTGTCATTCAGTGAATGGATTTTTCCATCATGTACACTAGGATGCCTAGTGCTGTTACTGTGTGCACTTAGAACAGCATCAAATTCATATTAAGTGAACTGGCTCAGGGTGGAACAGTGCAGTATGTGGAAGTTACAATGTGGCGTTAAGTTTTATTTTTGTAACCTGTTAGCTACAGTGGGTCTTATACTGACCTGTTTCCATCTTCAGTTTACTGGAGTAATGGTTACAAATGTGAACAGTGCCCCTTGTGCCCAGCTGTGGCCTCAGCCCTGTAGGGTAAATCAAAGATAAAGTTTCCAATCTCTTATCAGACCAAAGGGCTGCTCTCTCATTAGAGAGAGACGACTGGTGGTGGTTTAACCTGAGGGTGACTGTGCTGTCGGGTGAGGCAAGAAGTTGAAAGGTTAGGGCCTTCATGGTAACCTCAGCTGGTGCACTGTAAACAGCTCTGAAAGTGGCAGTAGTGTTGTTTAAATAAACATTATATATGTTAACATACAAAATAAGATGTTAGTTTTACATATAATTTATAAATTATGGATAACATTAATGGCTCTGTAATTATGTTCATCATGCTATAAATTCCATTTGAGGCCTTTGAAATCGATATGGAATGTCTGGTTAGAGATTATTTTTATGAACATTTTTCCATCATATTTTTGGCTCCCATAAACCACAGATAAATGGACATTGACCACTGGGGCCAATGGGTGATATAGTGCAGAGAATGATAAGCATGGGTAAGTGAATTTGCAAACGGTGGGAGATTACTGTAGTTTCTTCCTCAAACCCTGAATTTCAAGAGAATTAAAGAATCTCTCAGCTCATTATTGAAGAGTGTTTAACCTGCTCTCTGTACTAAATATCTCACATTTAATATTTTATCTATAGCTCCCAATTTTAAGCTCTTCATCTGTTCAAATTGTTCAATCAACCCCTCCCATCCTTTTAGTGTGTTAAATTTTGCGACTTTATTCCTCTGCAGTCTGCATTACTGTCATGAAATAAGCTCTAATTGTTCAACTCCTTGTATTTATATTTCTATGCACCAGGACTCTGGTGAATCCATGTCTCTCTTTATTTAGAAATTCAATATGCTTCCTCTAGTGTTCCAACTCAGGTCTTACAATTTTCCGTAGATTTGTCATTACATCTAGGCTTTTACATTCTATACTTCTAGGGAAAAAAGCCCTCAGATTTACGTTAGCTTTTTTTATTTAATAACCTTTTCAACCTGAAATCATCTGTTAAAGGCCAATGAGCCTACTTGACTTTGTTCTTTCACAGTACTGAGTATGTTTGATGCCTTGTGTGAGTGTGCATCACCCTTTAATTATGTTCACATCTTGGATCTATCACTGATAGTAGGAACTGCAGATGCTGGAGGATCTGAGATAACAAGGTGTAGAGCTGGATG